CTCACCCACACCCCCAAGTCTCTTGTGTTTGGAGGTGCAAGGGATGCTTCTCTGCTGATTTAGTCACCCCGCTTTGACCTGCTGGTTGGCCTTGCCTTAATTGCCCCGCAGCCTCCAACAATTTGCCACACTCCGTGTGTGGATTGGCCGAGTCTGGCGCAATGGTGGTTGGCCCCGTGCAGCCGGTTTTTGCAGAGGGGGCTTCCAGCACAGCGGCTGATTCCCCGGCTAAGGAGATTGGGAGGGGGGTCTTTGCAGAACTGTTGGCAGGGCTGAGGGGCCAACACCCTCAGCTTTCCTCCAGAGCTGGTTCAAGGTTTGCCTCCTGTGCAGTGTGGCTGGTGGAGGCCTGGAAAGGACATGAGCCACTCCCTCCTCCCCCCACCCCCCACCCCCGGGTCTCTTCCTGTCTGCCCTGCCAGCTCTTTTAGGGCCTGCAGGATCCCAGGCCCAGTGTAAACGGGCCCTTTTCCCTGAAGCGAGCCTCCCTGGCCAGGGAAGCACGTGTTTTCCCAGAGGTCAGGCCAGTCCTTCCAGATTCATCTTCCCAACTTTTACTCAAAGAGTTTTTATCGCCCTCTTTCCAGGGGCTCCCCCATCTTTGCCTTTCTCTGATGGAAAACCGCGGGGAAACCCTTGTCCTTTGCCTCTTCTTGGATGAAGGTTGGCAAGTGGCTCCTTCTCCCAGCCAGCCGGTTGCAACCACGTTCTTCCACACAGACAGGCTGCCTCGTGTCACGTGGTCCTTCTGAGCATTGCCTCTTCCTCTGATGGGTTCCTTTTTGTTGTAAAAGAATGTTTATGCGCCACTTAATTGCAGCTCATTAACCTACAGAGGCTAATCTGGATTCCCGGTGAGTAATCAGCATTTAACGCTGCCCCCTTCTAGGCTGACTCTCCCATGTTTGCTAATCCAGGCAAACTTGTGGCGGCTGCCTCGGCTGCTCGGGCCCTGGAGGACAAAACCTCCTGGCGTGTGGCTCTCCCAGCTCAGAAGACCAGCATCCTTGGGGTGGCACGTGACCTGCCCAACCAGGTCACGAATGTGATGTCATTCTGGCTTTTACCAAATGCACACACGGCTCCCTGAACCTTTTATCATTGCCAGTTCCGGTTCAGATTGCTCCCATGAGTGGACAGACCTTTTAAGGGTGGAGCCATCGAGATCTTCTGACAGGGAAGCCCTGGAGTTGTTGCCTTGGGGCAGAGACGTCCAAGAAATGGACGGAGCAGAGACAGGAGGCCTGCTGGGTGCCGATTCCTTGCACTGCCGTTACCGTGTGATCCAACACTCTTTGGAGGTCTGAGATGCCCTCCTGTGGCTTCTGGCCACTTTGCCAGCAGTCTGGTTGTGACTGGCCACAGATTGCCTGGCACCCAAATGCTTCCTGGGATCTGGAAAGCTGCAGTCTCTCTGTGCACGGGGCCCCTATTCTGGGCCACAGTTGTGGCAAATGCAAAATAGGCACGGGGAGGAATGGTCTCTGGATCTGCGCAGAATATCCCTCTTCTTGGAATTAGTGGCAGAAAAGAGGAGACCGTGCCCAGCCTCTTCCCGAGAGCGACCGTGTTGGCCTGTTGCAGCAAGAGCCCTGAAGAGGTTTGTGGCAGGCGTTTGTGATAGCTTAGCCTCTGCAGTCTATAACGATTCATGGATCTGAGAAACGGGCTCCCTTTGGAAATGCTTATTTGTTCCTTTAAATGCTGACCCCGGGGCCACCCATGGCACCAACCCAGAATTTGGTTTGCCTGCTTTCAACTTCAGTCTTGTGTGACCTCCGCCACTGGGGGTTACTGAGCAAACTGTGGTTAATCCCACAGATGTTTTTGATGTTTCAAGGGCACATAATCCCCACCCACAAACTTCAACGGCAGAAAGTCAGATGCATCCAAAGGCTGTGAGGGGAGCCAATCTGCTTCAAGGCATTTGGGTAGCAAGCAAGCTTCGCTTTCTGTGGGGGTCCAGACTTTCTGGGCCCTGGCATCAGGAAGAGAGCCAGGAGATTGGGCACCAGTTTGAAGCCCAGCAAATAATGACGGAACAATTATTCCCTCAAATGGCTGCACGTAATGCTCTGTGAATGCAGGAGGGTAGCCATCAAAGTCTCTCCATCGCAGAAGCGGTCCAGAGATGGGGCAGCAAAATTTCTATTCATTTCGCCCCCATGTCCTACTTTCATCATCTTAAGTGCGGATAGAGCCCCAAAGGGAGGGATCTCTCACTCCCTCTCACTCAAGCAAGCTAAACCCAACCGGCCCTGCCCTGAAGTGGCTGCTTGCTTGGCAAGTGTGAAGCACGCCATGCTATTAAGCCAGCATTTCAAAAAGTGTAAGGATGGCAATAAAGCTACTATCCTCTCAACTGTTGGAGAGAAAAATCTGGGTGGGCTTCGAACGGCAAGTTCAAGAAAGGATCCACACTTATGCGTGAACTTGAAAAAGGTCCGTTCATGGTTGCATTTGCCAGACACTTCAGTCGTGGTCCCTGGAACTCTCTGCTAAGGGAAATTATCAGCAGCATCTTGACTTTTCCTATGCAGTACATTGTGAAGCATTTATGGTTGATTGAGCTTTACAGCTGAGTGGTAGAATTTTATGTTATTTAAGAATTTATAAACTGCTTTAATCAAGATTTAAATCTATTTTTATTATTTGCCATGAGGTTTTACATTATTGCTTTGAAACGTGATGCTTTTATAACCCTTGCAGCTAATGCTTGATAGCCAGGACTATTAAACTGGCTACATAAGTAAACTCAAGCAGGGATTTTGTTCCTCTTAACGTCTGGCGGCAATTTAGAGCTCTCAAGGCTGGTGGATTCTGTCCAGAGTGAAATTTCAGAACCTTAAACTCTGTCCTCTTAATTGGGCCACAGAATCCAGGAGGACATTGTGCAATTCCCAGAGACCTGCCATTTTTTCTCATCCCTTCAGGAGAAAGAAAAGCACAGCAGAAACTGTCCCATTAGGAAGGACACAAAGGTGGCCCTTTTGTTACAGACGCTGATCCTTTTAAACCCCTGGCCCAGTTCCATGAAATATGGAGCGTTTCCCTCAGATGGAGCTTATGGAAGCCATAGGTGGAAATGTGCGTCTGCCCCGTCCATTATTCATCACCCTGTTTGCTCTGACCGACTTTGACGAGCTGAAAGGAGATTCGGGAGCTCGTAGCTTTCCCATCCCGACCCAGAGCTGAGCTGCTCCACTGACCCAGCCCCTGCCTGACTTCCTGGCCATTTGTCTCATTTTCTGGGACTGAACGTAGGAAGCCAGGGGCCCCTCCGGAGAGTCATGTCTCCAGAACCAGGGCCGGAGAGGGGCAGCCCCTTAGAACGAGAGCTACTGGGTCAATTTCCTCTTTGAGACCGTTGTGATCCTGATCTGGCGAGCACTGACTCAGTGAACTGGGTGGGAGCACCTGCTGCTGAAAAGCAACCGTCTACGGAGGGAGCAATTAGCAGGGCTAAATTTAACCAAAGGAGCATCAATCCCTATAGCATCAAACCCAAAGCAGTGCCACCATTTAAATTTTTTAAAAGAGAAAATTACATGGAAAGCAGGTCTCTTTAATGAGAAAAGATTTTTTTTTTCTGGAGGAAAACCGGCTCCTTGGATCTGGTGCTGCTGATCAGAGTCTGGTCCGAAGGCAGCAGGAAACTGGAGTGAGGGAGAGGGGGGGGGTGAGCACGCAGCACCTTGGACAGCACCCCAGGCAGGTGGAAGCAGCATCCCAGTCCTGGCCACTGGCCAGTCTGCAAGGAAAGGGCTTGGAGAGGCTATGCAACCGCCCCCCACCTCCTGTGCTCCAGATTTCAAGGTGGATCTGAAATAAAAGGCCAGTTTTGTGTTCTTTTTGATGTCTTTCCTTTGCTACATTCACACATGCACGGATTTGTCCCTATTTCTTAGAGCAGTGTTTCTCAACCTTGCCAGCTTTAAGAGGAGTGGACGCCACCACCCAGAATTCCCCACCAGCCATGCCTTAGAGACCAACTCTCCCATCCAGAGCAGTTTCCAAGACAGCTGTTGAAGGAGAGGGGGGTGCCTCTGGGTCATGGGAATGAGCACCCCGGAAACCACAACCGCAGGTGTTGGGGGGGGGGGGGGGGGGCCAAGAAAATGTGGAAGGTCCAGGCAGAGGGGCGGGGGGGGGGGGGGCTGTGCAGGAGCTCGTGGGGGAGGAGATCTAGGAGAGATCTAGGGAGAGCAGAAAAGGCTCAGGTGGGGCCTCGGAAGGCAGGACAAGCAACCAACACATGGGGCAGCTTGACTCAGGTGCCAGGCCAGGCCCGGGTGGGCTGGTCTCTCTCTCCAAGCAGAGCCTGAGCAGGGCCAGCTGCCGGGTGTTTCTGTGCCCCCACAGTCCCTGCTGCACAGCCTTCTCCTTAGAAGCCTCTTCTATGGAACAGGAAGGGGAGCGGCTGCTACCCCCACCGCACTCAGTGCCCTTCCCTGCCCCAAACTGGCCTACTTTCAACTGCGAGAACAGCAGTCGAACCCGCAAAGCTCCCGGGGCGGCTCCTTGGCTGGAGGAGGGCAGCAGGGGGCAAGCGCGCCCCAAAGGCGCAAAGGAGGGCGGAGGGTGGCCCCTGTCCGGGGATCGCTGGCAGAGCAGGCCCGCCCTCCCAGGACCGGGCGAAGGACGCCGTTTTTGGCGGGGCCACGCAGGACCGCGCCGGCTCGCCTTGCCCACCGCTCCCGGGGCTCTGGGGCTCCTGCTTGCCACCTGCTGCGGGGGCTCCCAGGCGCCTTCCCGCGAGGGGGCTGGGCCGGGGGTCCCAAGGACGCCCCTCCCCGCGCCCTGCAGCCCCCGCGCCGCCAAGCACAGCCTCCCTGCCTCCCTGCCTGCCTGCCCCCCCTTTCGCTCGCTCGCGCCGACGCTGCCCGCGCATTCTGGGAGCCTGGCGGCCGGGCGCGCGCGCGGGGCGGGGACTTCGGCGGCGCTGACGGCGGCCGTTGCAGGAGACCTTCCGCGCCCCCCTCCCGCCGCCGCCTCCGCCGCCCCGGCTCCTCCCGCGCCGGCCCGGCATGGCTGCCGCGGGACCACCGCCGCCGCCGCCGCCGCCTTCGCCGCAACGGGAGCAGCAGCAGCAGCAGCAGCGCGTCGGCGGGTAAGCCCCCGGGAGGGGCGGCGGGGGAGGCGAAAGACGAGAACGACGGTCGGGCGGCGGGGGCGGGGGGGAGGGCAGCCCACCGCTCTTCCCCCTGACACCCCCCCGCAGCCGCAGCAGCCGACCCCGCGTCCCCCGTCCCCCCCTCCCGTCCGTCGATCGCCCGCCGGTTAGGCGAGGATGGAGCAGGCGCGGGGGCGCGGAGGGGGGCTGCCGCTGCTGCGGCGACCGGGCTCTGGCGTTGCCATGGTGACGGTGCAGAAGAGGAAGGCAGAGGACCCCCATTTGGGCGGAGGGGGGCGAGCGGGGGCGGAGGCTGCTCCCCCTCCCCTCCCCTCCCCTCCCCCTCCCGGCCCGCGTGCCTCCCTGTGCGGCGGCTCCCGCTTCTTCTGCCCCCCGCGCCGCAGCCAAGGACGGGGCGCCCGGAGAGGGGGACGCGCGAGCGGGGCGGCTGGGTGGGGCTGCTCCTCCTCCGCCTCCATGGGCAGCCTCGGCTGCGGGCACCGCCGCGCTTGCTCCGGGGCTGACGGGGCAGGAGCGCGGATGGCGAGAGAGGATCGGGGATGGGGCGGCAAAGCTTTTCCCGGGCAATGGTGCGGGAGGAGGGGGATGTGCCTCTGCTTGCCCCCCTACCGAAGCGCTCGCGGGCCCATTCTGGAGCTGGAGTGGCCGAGGCACCTGGAACAGGAGCCTGGCTCCCTTGGTCAGTGGCCCTCAGATCCCCCAAATCCGGAGACCCTTCGGGACGCCTGGGGGGCAAAGGGAGGGAGGGGGGGCAGTGATAGCGAGGGGGCCGGCCCTCCCCACCTGTGCCTCTGGCCGAGACTGCCAGGAAGAGGCAGACTGAGAAGCGGTATCTGCTGTTCAATCCCTCTCATCCAAAGGACTAGGAACTTGTTCCTCTTCCTTTGGGCGAAGAACAGCTCTGAGAGGAGAGCAAGCCGTGCTGAGCCTCTCTCTCTCTCTCTTTCTTTCTTTTGGGGGCTGACCTGTTCCAAGAAAGCCACAAGGCCCGTTTGTTCAATGCCCGGTGGAGAAGGCCCACGCATCTTCCCCCAGGGCTCTACTGAGGCTTTTCCTAAGGGGCTCATAGTCCCAGTGCCCCCCCTCCCCCAAATCTGGGCACTGCCAGCCTTGTTCAGGAGCAGGAATGACTTGCTGAGTGTAAACCAAGGGCAGGACCCTGACTCATGACTAAGTCCTCAGCCAACAGGTAGTCCAAGGGCAGAAGGTGCCCAGGCAAATGCCCTCTTGGTAAGCAGCCCAATCCCATGTGATGGGGAGCTGCAGCTGGGCTCTGTGGGCAGAATGGGGTGCAGTTGTCAATGCCTTTTCTGGGTCTCCCATCTGGGCAAACTAGTTGTGGAAGCGGCTGGTGAGCCACAGATGCCAGAGCTGGTGGAGGGGTGGGGTGGGAGGGGGGTAATTTTGCCCATGCTTTTCCTGCTTATTTAGAGCTGCGAACTCCTGCGTCTTCCTGCTGGGTTGTCTCTCCTGGGATGGATGGATGGCAGGTTCGGTAGCCAAAGTTTCTCCTTTGGTGAGGCGGGAAAGAAGAAAAGGTGCCATTTCCCCTTGCACCTTTACTCCTTCGCCTGTCTCCTCCAGGGACTTGTGAGGATGGAGGCCTGGGTTTCTTTGTCTGCCAACTGCTTCCTTTTATGAATCCCTTTATCTAGACAACCACCCTGTGAGGTGGGCCGGGCTCAGCCAGTGTCTTATGGGAGGAGCCTCAGGAACTCCTGGGGTCTCAGGTGCTCTTGCTGAATCAGCCATAGGGAGAGGTGACCCTGGGGGTCCCACAGGCAGGAGAATCCCATGCTGGTCTGGAGGAAACAGGAGCCAGCGGGCCCAAGGATTTTGGGCTTTCCCTCCCTAAGCCCACACAGGAGGGGGTTTGGGTGGGGAGGGGACCCACCCGTGGAGCAAAGGGCTGCAGCAGATTAGCCTCTTTGCCCCAGAGAAGCAGGGCAGAGGGGGGGCATTCCTGCTCTCCACGGTTCCCCAGGGTGGCCAAGCATAGTGGCCACGTGCCAGAAAAGAAGATAGGGTGGCAGGAAGTGCCCGTGGCAAGCAGGCGGTATAGTTAGTAGCAGATTCACCCCCCCAAGTGCCTTCCCATCCCTGGCTCTCCTAGTTCGAGGCTCAGGGAAAGCCCCTCCCTCTGGGATCCGTGCCAGGGAGAAAGAGCCATTTTGAGCTACCAGCAGTTCCTCTACAGGCAGCGGCTGGCAACGGCTCCCACTGGACGGCTGGTGGGAAGCGGTGGCTGGGAAGAGGGCAGCCAAGACCCTGGTCCACCTAGGGGGGTGACACCCCCCCTCCTCCCCCATCAAGGCTCTTGCCCGGACAACAGACTGGCTGCAAGGTGTGATCAGGCGCTGCACATGACATGCCCTGAGCCTGTGGGAAAGGCCACAAGCATCCAAAGCCGGTGAGGGCTGCTCCTGATTGGCTGTGAGCTGTCTTCCCGGGGGAGGGTTCCAGATGTGTAGGGACAATGGCTTTCTCTCCCCCCGACCCCCCCTCCCTCCGAGGAAAACCAGGCTGCCTCTGCAAGTCATCAGGTGGGCAGCGGCTCTTACTGACAGCTGTAGTGGGTGACGGCAGAAACGGACAAGGAGGGATTGGTTCCCTGTTGCTGCTTGCAGGAAGAAGACGGACTGCATTCTTTTGTTTTAAAAAACCAGCTCATGCACCTCTCCTGCTGCAGGCAGAACCCGAAAGACCCCGGGCAAGAGGGGAGCCCTGTAGAGCCACATGGGGCTGAGCTCCCCAGAGCTTCCGCCTTTGCACAGGGAGGACTTGGCTGGGGATACCCACACTTTTTCACAGCCAGAACCAGGGACATGGGGAGACATTCAGGCCGAAGTCTGCCAACGAGCAGAGCTGCTTCCATTGGAAGGTGCTTGGCTAAGAAAAGGGAGGTGGAAAAAGGGGCAGTGCACCTGCAAAAGACCCCCAGTCTTCCTTCTGTCCTGCTGCGCTCACTCGCCTTGCAGGGATCACCGGACATCGGTCTCGGAAAGAGCTGAGCCTGCCTTCCCACGCAGAGCTCATCCTGGCTCCAAGTAGATGCCCACAATGCCATCAAGGCCGCCCAGGCTGGAGGGATGCTGGGGCTTGAGGTGTGTTGCCCCAACGTCCAGCCAGCTAGAGCAGCTCGAACACCTTCCACCCCACGGAGGGTGCAGCTTTCAGAGGCTGCTCTTAGCCAGGAGCCCTCGGGGCCAACTTTGAATGTGAAGGCCCCTTGGGTGAGAGAGAAGACCACCTCGCAGTTGGTGGGGTAGCTTTGGCTGCTGGAAGGGGTGTGTGACCAGCCCTCTCCTTGACTGGCGCTCCTGGAAGCCCCTTGCATGGCGGACACTGCTGCTTCCCAACCTCCCTGTGGAAAGGGAAGGGCCACAGCTCGGGGGCCACACCTGGTATGTGCGCAGAAGGTCCCAGCTTGGAGGGGATGGCAAATATTGCCCCTTGCCTGGACTTTGGACTCTGCAGACAGTTGAAAGAGGTCCGAGCGAGGCAGAGGTTAAAAGGGGGCAGCTGTGGGGGAGGAAGACCCAAAGTCCTAAAGAACGTGGGTGCAGCCTTAGGTTTTTGTCCTGCCTGGGGGAGGGGTGTGACTAAGGAAATCCATCGGCTGATGGTCCCTAGCCCGATCCTTGGTCCTACCAGGGAAGCCGCTAGTCTCCATTGGCTCTTCCTGACCTCTGATTGCCCTCCAGGTCAGTTGGATGACTTCTCCCATTGTGCATAGCCAGCACTGCAGTGGAGAAGACTGTACCGGACAGGTTGCCTCCAGACCTTCTCTGGCCTTCCAGACCTTCCCAGGCTCTGCCCCGGGGGAAACGGGGTCACCTGGCAGGCACGCCATTGGGCCAGCAGTGACGAAAAGGAAGCCCCTCCCTGCCTCTTTCGAGGCTTGCAGGTCTGGCCAGATGATTCGGTGCCCAGCTTCATTGGGGGAACCCCAGTTGTTTGCATCAACTCTTAGTGGCTTACTTGGTTCCGGTTAGTGTGTTGCATGTTGTGACTTGTCTGTGTTTGCAGGCTGTGTGAATCTGCGTGGCAAAAGGGGATGTCCTAGGAGAAGAATTGAATGGGGGGAAGTGTGGGGAATGTAAACTGGCCAGACAGGTCATTTTCTAGGGGTGGGGGCTGCCTCTGCGGCTGACGAATGGCTACTCTGTTTCTGGACCCTCCCTCTCTCCCTCTCTCCCTCCCTCCCTCTCTCCCTCCCTTCCTCCCTCCCTCCCTCCCTTCCTTCCTTCCTTCCTTCCTTCCTTCCTTCCTCTTTTCCACCAGCCAGATTCTGCTTGTGCTCTTCTTCACCTCAGAAAGCCCCGAGCAGGCGTTGAAGGGGCCCATTGTTTTCCCCGGCCCAGCAGTTTGCCCTCTGGAGCTCCTCCTTAGAGGGCAGTCTGGGAAAATGTGGTCATCTGGAGCCTTTTGCTTCGCCTCCTTCAGATGCCTTTGCTCTCCTCTGCTCTCGGGAGTCCCCTGCAGCCGTCTTGCCTCCTCAAAGCCAAGTGTGACCAGAGGACGCAGGGGGGGCTGCGGGCGAACCTCCTTTGTGCCTTGGAGGGTCTCTCTGTTTGCAGTCGCTGCCCCTCTTCTTTTCCTTGGACACTTGCTTCTCTGTGGGAGAAAAGTCTCGCCTTCTCTGTGCTTCTGGTCCACCTGTCCAAGTACTGCGGAGATTTGGGCAGAGGTTGAACCTCTTGCATGAAGAACATCTGGCTAAGGATGAGGGGAGTTGTAGTCCAGCTCACCCAGAAAGCATCAACTCAGGGAAAGCTGCCTTCAACCTCCCGAGGCTGCTTGTCCAGGGCCCTGGGGGACCTTGGAGCCAAATTCAGCAGGGCCCTGGCACCAGCAGAGTTTTCTTGTGGGGTGGCTGGGCCTGTGCTTAGGCAGAAATTCACCAGGATGAAAGGTTATCTAGAGGAGCTTCTTCATTTTGACCTGGATGGACAGAGACCGAGCAGAAAGGGAGGTGAGAGGGCTCCACATTCCAGGTGTGAACAAGGTTGCCCAGCCCAGGGCTTGGGTGCCCTGCCAGTGGAGTCACAGAGCCTGGGACAGTCCAGAGGGAGGGCGGTCGCCACGCTGGGACTGGTGCGCCTCCCCCAGGGAGTGCCACACAAGGCAACGGAGGCCCTTTTACTAGGAAGAGCCTGGCAGCTGCAGGGACCTGGGGCTCTGAAGCCCAGCAAGAAGAAGACTTCTTCCCCGAGAGCCCTCCTCCTGGCCTCTGGGCTGAGGTCTCTTCCGAGCCTCCTCCAGCTCTGCCTTCTTCCCCTCTCCTTGCTTCAGACGGCTACAAATGCCCCACTGGTCTGCCTTAGTGCCCAGTTGTGCTTGCGGGGATTAACCTCAGCATCACTCTGCCTAGACCCAGCCACAGAGACAGGCTTTTGTCACTGAGTGGGACAAACCTCATAGGATGCCCAGAGAAGCAGCTTTCCTGGCATGCCAGCAGGATGGTCGTGCACGAAGGCTTTGCTCTGCCCTGGAAACACCCTTTTGGGTGAGAGAGAGAAAGAGAGCCTTGGTTGCTTCTCCTTCTTCAGGGAAAGCCATAGCAAAGTCTCCGCTGGAAGAGAAGAGGGCCCGGGCACCACTTTATGCTGTGCCATTTGAGGTAGATCTTCCCCAGATGGCCTAGAATTCCATTTGGAGGGAAATTCACCAGGTTCCATAAGGCTTTTCTTGTTTGGGTAGGATGCCAGCAAGAATGGTGGCTAAGCCAGGCTGGCCCAACGCAGTCTGTGGGTCTGCCCATCCAGCGATGCTCGGGCTGACTTGGAAACACAGCGGGTGAAGTGCTAACAAAGACCCAGCTATTTATGTGGGTGTTACTATCATCACCATGTGCAGACACCCAGGGAGGAGGTGACTCCCTCGTAGACACTCACCGCCAGAGCCACGTCTCCGTTGTGCACTTGTCCAACTCCGTGTTTTGAGAGCTTCTCAGGAGGGCATAAGTGTGCAGTTTCAAAAGATCCATTGGGGTGGATTTAGGATCGAGACACTCAAGGAGCAACCCTCTGCTCCCTCCCTCCCTCCCTCCTTCCTTCCTTCCCGTCTTTAAGGCACTTGATTCCTCCACATCCAATTCTCACAGTAGCTTCTTGTCCCTTGCAAAGGTTCCCCCCAAAAGAAAACAGATGGCCCAGCCATTCACTTTAACAGATCCCACATGATCTCCACAGTCAAAGAACTTGCTGTGGTCAATAAAGCAAGGAGGAACCCCACTCTGAGCATCTCTTTGTCATCCATTTTACAATGGCTGCCCATCGGAGTTCCTGTCCCTGCAGTCTTGCTCCATATTTGTTGACACGGAGCTGGTAGCAGTTTCATTGCTGTTTCTTGGCTGCTTGGGGGGTGGGGGTGGGATACCTTTAGTGCTTCCCCCCTGGTAACTAGTTTAGTGCCTGTGGTCCCCCCGTTTTCAGTGGAGCCAATGCCTGAATAAATTGCTTCTCCACAAATGTTTCTGTTGTTTTGTGATCCTGTTTGCAGTGATTCCAGTGTAATCTTCCCATCTTCTTTTAACCTCATTTGCTTTTGTTAGAGCTTTGGATGATGATCCATGAGTAGCTGTACATCTTCCCGTGGTTTATCTGATCTCTCTAAAAGCTTCGTCTCTTGTTTATTTTCCTCAGTTCTAGGCATTTTTTTTTCTTTTGATACCTTTCATTGTCCTTCCTGGTTTGATGCTGCAAATCTGCATTCAGGGATTGTACATGCTTTTTTCCTGTCCAAGCCTCTCGTCCTCCATCTGTCTCTGACTTTCATGATAACTCCTTGGATTTGGGGAAATGCATTTTCCTCTTTGGTTTTTGCAGAATCTCTGACCTCTTCCCAGAGTTCCTGAAATTCAATTTCACCCAAGTTCCTGGATACTGTATGTTCTTTCAGTGGGTCTTCTATTCTGCCCTTCTCTTTGCCAGGGTCAACGCTTCTTATGGGACCTACACTCTTTAATTTTCAAAGTTCAGTTTAAATACTGGATACAAATAATTCTCAGTCTGCATCTGGAAATGACATCTTGTACTTCTCTGTCTTCTTTCCTCTTACCTGGCCTACTGATTCTGGTGTTGTCCAGCCAGTAAATCCGGCCACACCACTTGTCCTTAGGATGCTCAAAGCAATGGGTTCCCCTCCAAAACTCTGCGCTCATCCAGCCCTGGCCTTCCTCTCATGGCAGGTTCATTCATTCCAGCCCCCCCCAACCCACTCGTTCTCCTCTTGTTGTTGATGGGGTATCGGGCGATCCTTTTCAGGGCCTTTCCACCTCTTCTGCTTCAGGCGGTTGGGTGGGTGGGTGGGTGGGCGATCTCTTGCCCGGATCTGATTTTGAAGTCTGCCTAAATCCATGAGCTTCATTGAGCCTCAGAGGGCCCCTTGATTCACAGCTGTCCCATTCCCCGGTCCAGCTAGAAATGAGGACTGACCCTGTGGCAGCTCCGGTCTTGCCTCCTCTTTGCGTCCAGAGGACTATGTCTTAGCCTGAGGGGGCCTTCATCTTCAGCCTCGAAACTTGCCTGAATGCTGGGTCCTCCGTACCGTTTTCTTCACAGCTATGCAGAAGGAGACCCAGATCCCGAAGGAGGGTGGGCTTCCCCACCCCTGCAGAGCTCTGCCTGTCCTCTCCCTGTTGGGGGGACCCTTAACTTCACCCCTCCTCTTCTGAGCTTCCCCCGCAAGGGGAACAACGATGTAGCTAGCAATTACTTGAGCTCCTTCCAAGCCTTTCTTCTCTGTTCTTCTCTTTTTCTGCCACAAATGTACCCCAGCTGCCCATGGCCAAAGAACAGCTCTCTAGAATTCAGACAGCTGGATGTAATTCCTGGGAAAGAGCAGCTTTTATCCCTTTAAGGGCATTATGTAATTTGGATAATTTTGCAAGCACTTTTTGCAACCAGGAGCTGCATCTGCCTTCTTGAGCGCTTAGGAGCTCAGGGGGGCCCCTCCAATCGTGCCCCGGAAGAGAATGAAAGGCACAACCCAGGAATCTGTCCTTGTAGGCAAGAGCCGCCTGGCACATTGTTCCCAGGACCGAAACTGAGGTCACCCAGGAGAGGAAGAAGTAGTAGCCAAGGCCCTGAGAGGCTCTCCAAACAGGGAGGGAAGGAAGCCATCTTGCAATCAGGCCCACCAGCACAAGAAGATTTGGTCCCAGTTGGGAGATGCTGGTCCTAGTAAGCCATCAGCCCAGACCAGGAGTGAAATCCAGCAGGTTCTGACAGGTTCTGGAGAACCGGTAGCGGAAATTTTGAGTAGTTCGGCAAATACCACCTCTGGCTGGCCCCATGGGGAGGGAATGGAGATTTTGCAGTATCCTTCCCCTGCCATGCCTACCAAGCCACGCCCACAGAACCGGTAGTAAAAAAAATTGGATTTCACCACTGGCCCAGACCATGGTGGAGTCACCACTGAGCCTCCTGTTGGGGAAGTCCTGAGGCCCAAACGTTGCCCTCCAGATGGGGTGGAAAGAGGAACCTTCTCCTTGGGGCCTTGAGTCTCCTCCCCAAGAATCAGACTTCTAGTCAGATGCCCGACGGGTGGCTTTTTAACCTCGCATCTCTTTCTATGAGGGGAGGCATGTCAGGTGTGGATGAGTTTTGCTCCCTCCAAACTGGTCACTATTAACCTGCCTTCCCCCCCCCAAATCTCCCCTTTGCAGGACCACCTGTCTCCAAAGAGCTGCACCTGCAGAGAGGAAGAGCTCCTGAGCTGTGGGACTTTGGCCCTTGGCTGCCACCGCTCCTGCCTGCCACCCGGACCCCCCCCGGAGGGTCCTTTGAGCCACCCGCATCTGCTTTAGGCCCGCTGTCCAGCGCTGCCCTCCCCAGACCATGTGGCAGCTATTGTGCCAATGCCCGCTTCTCCTCCCGCCCTTCTCACAAGTGACCAAGGGGGCAGCCGGGTGGGGCGCACACTTGGCCCTCTGGATCCTGGGCCTCGCCTCGGCCGTGGTGCGGATGGAGAGCCAGGCCTACTCGCCCACCGTCAACACTCACTACGGGAAGCTCCGTGGGGTGCGTGTGCCCCTGCCCAGCGAGATCCTGGGACCGGTGGATCAGTACCTGGGGGTGCCCTACGCCGCACCTCCCATCGGGGACAAGCGGTTCCTGCCCCCCGAGCCTCCACCGTCCTGGTCGGGCATCCGGAATGCCACCCACTTCCCCCCAGTGTGCCCGCAGAACATCCACACCGCCGTGCCCGAGATTATGCTCCCCATCTGGTTCACCTCCAACCTGGACATTGTGGCCACCTACATCCAGGACCCCAACGAGGACTGTCTGTACCTCAACATCTACATCCCCACCGAGGATGGTGAGTCCCCAGCGGGGTGCCTGCAGGACACGTGTGTCGTATGTGTGTGTGCGTGTGCACGCATGTCTCTCTGGCGTTTGAGCATGCTGCCATCACTTGCTCTCCTCCTTCCGCATGGCTGTCTGTCTGTCTGTCTGTCTGTCTGTGCGCATCCGTTTCTGGCCATGACGCTTGTCCCTCCTGGCTGCCATGCGCTCCTTCTCGCTCTCTCTCCACTTGGGCCCTTCCTCCTCTGCTCGTCTCCCCTCCCCCCCTCCAGCCACCATCATCCTCATCCTGAACTGGGTCGGCAAGACAGGAGAAGCCTCCGGTCAGCTGCAGGGTGTCCCAGCTGGTTGGGGGGCAGCAGGGGGCCTTAGGTGCCCTCAGGCTTGGCTGTGGGTCGACCTCCTCCCAACCTTCTGTCTCTCCATCCCCCCTCTCCCCATTTCAAGGGGGTCCTTGGCAGGACAGTTATGGTGGGTGCTCTCTCTTCCTCTTCCTCTTCCAAACCTTTCCCAGTCCTTGAGCTCAGCCTTAGTAGGTACCACTCCCTGGTTGGAGGAGGGTCTGTGCTAGCAGGGGGCAGCCAGAGCAGGAGGGGGGCTCTTTGTGGTGAGGCCGAGCACCTTAACTCTTCCTTTCCAGGGCTCTCCCGTTGGAACTGTAAGTAACCCCCTCCCGAGCGAACTCGGCCTCACCACAAGGGGGTCCCTGCCGAGGGGAGCTTCTTACCTGGCAGCAGCAGCACTGGGGCAGTTGGGCCCCTCCCCGGGTGGGGAGGAGGGAGCTTCACGCTTGACACGCCCTCCTCTCCTGCACCCTTCCTGGCCTCCAGCGACCCCCCCGCCCCCTCCCCCCCGGAGCAGCTGCTGCTCTGCTCCCCTCTGCCCTCCCTGTGGTCAGCCCCAAGGGGGGGTGGGGGGCTGGGTGGGAGAAGGACGGGTTGCATGCCCACACCCTCCGCTGGGGCCTCCTGTTATTTTGTAGTCTTTTATTCATTTTACAGTAAAGCGGATTTCCAAGGAATGCGCCCGAAAACCCAACAAGAAAATATGTAGGAAAGGAGGTAGGTAGCGAGCCGGGGTTTGGCAGAGGGCACAGAGAGAGGCAAGTGAGAGAGTGAGCGCCAGGGGGCGCCTGGCCTGCCCCATGCCACAACAGGTTGGGGGTGGGGGGCTTATTGACTTGGAAGGGCTCTCTGGCCAGTCCTCTGGGAGAGCCCCCTCTCTTTTTGGGGGGGTGGCATTCCCACCTAGGCACAGCTGCCCTGGCTGGCATTGGCTGCCTATCACTAGGGGGCAGAGGAGAGAGCTCCCTTCTCCCCTGCCCCACACTGGGCTGGAGCTGGCCTCGATCCAGAGTCGACTGGAAGGCAATTCTGCCCGCTTCCTTCTCAGCAGTCCCGGGAAAGGCCCTGCCAGCGGGCAGAAGGCTGAGAAGCAGGCCCTGCTTCTGGCCTGTTTTTCTGGCCAGCCCCATGGGAACCCCCACGTGGCCCCTGGGTCCCTAAGCACATCCATGACAGCAGAGGCCTGCGCTCGGTCCCTCCCTGCCTTCCCCCTCTGCCTGGGACCAGGGCAGAACCGTTCTTCTCTTGAGCCTCCATCCCCCTTCCCCACTGCTGGGTCTGCTTTGCCCCAGTTGTCCTTCTGGACCTCTGCCCCGCCCCCCGGCCTTGGCCCCCTGGGCAGGAGTGGAGACGGGTGGGCAGGGAGCCTCTGCTGGCTCTGCCCCCCTTCCTCCTCACAAAGGGTCTCGGTTCCACCCGTGATGGAGCAGCAGCTTCAGCACGGGCAACCACTTGTGCCAAGTGCCATCCTTAAATCTCCTCTGTTATTCCTTCACCAAGGGCCGGGCATGAAGGTGCCAGCTTCCTTTTGAGCGTTTGGAAATGTCAACCAACCAGGCCTGTAGTGGGGACGGCTGAAGCCTCCCTGGGCTCTTTTCCTGCTTTTCTGCCCCCGCCCTGTGAGGGGCCCAGGGCCTGGACAGCTCTTCCCAAGGAAGAGGAAACTGGTCCCTGAGTTTTGACACAAAGGGAGGCCTTCCCATGGGGAAAGGAGGACCCGCCCCCCATGTTGAGTTTCAGCTCCTGTCATTCCCAGCCAAATGGCCAAAAGCCAGCAGCCATTTAGAAGGGGCTTCAGGGAATGGAGGAGGGGGTCATACCAAGCAGTTGAGGGAGGACCAGAGATAATGCGCACACCTGCACACACACGCACACACAGAGGGTTGGTGGGTCCAGGCAGGTTGAGCAAAGAGGTTTCCACCTGGAGGTGGCTTCCTCTGTTTGAACCCAGAAGGTCTCCTTGGGTTCTCTGCCTGGGATGAAGGGAGGAGCCTTGGCCCAGGCGCTGGGTCTCAAACCCCCATGGCTCGAGTGGAGCATAACTGCCCAAGACTGTGACTGGGCTAGCCGGCTTCCTGAAGGAGCTGTGGTGGTTTGTTAAATCATGGCTTAGGGCATCATACGAGTCCAGTCCGTGTGGCCCATTCAGCAAACCCCGATTAAGCAAGACGTGGCTTAGCTAGCAGGCAGGCAGGCAGGCACATGGCTGAGAGCCTGAGGATTTTGGGAGACGCCTGGCAGCGGAATCCGTTCGGCCGGGGATTATGGCTCCGTGCATTGTGCGACTCCAACCATGGCTTAGCATTTGGTGTGAATGCAGCAGCTACATAGTTTGTCTTTGACCTGCCCATCCACTAACGCTGACCTGGGGCTCTCCGGGAAGGAGGAAGTTAAACTGAACGGTTTGAAGGAGGAGCCAAGCAGCCCGGGCATCCTGGGCCACCATGTGCAACGGGGGCATCAGAGACGCTGCCAGGAGGCTCCCTCTGGCTTCTTGCCCTTAAGGACTCCGGTCCCATTCAGCCCCCTGTCATAAAGTCCGAGGGTGGGGAGAAGGGCTCGGTCCTCGAGAAGGAGGGTACCCCAGGGCTTCTTTGGGAGCCCCCATCAATACCACAATATTGCCCCCTTTCTCCAGGAGCAGGTCCAGCCCCACCATCCAGTGGGAGAAGGGCCTTTGGAAGGGAGGCCAGGTTAGGAATGGCTGTTTCGCAGTGGGGAGTCACCTCAAACCAGCTTCTGAGAAATCTCCTGAGGCCTGGGGGAGTTGTGTCCTTAGGGGGAAGAGGGGGCTTCTTTTACGCCCCTCTGCCCCTTCTCAGCTGGGCCCAATTCAGCTCAGACGTTTCCTCCGGTGGCAGATTCTGCTCCTGCTCATACCCTGGTTAATCTGCCAGGCAAGAATTGGCATCTCCGCCTAAAACGGAGGGGAAGGAGAAGGCCTCCGCGTCGGCTGAGGCCCCGGTGCCCTCTTTTGTGCCATCTCTAAAGCATTTTCGTGTCATTCGGCTTTGATGTGGTGTGGCAGGTTCCCACCGGAGCAAAGGAATCACCCCTTCCTCATTTCCCCCTCATCCTGGTGGAAAGTGGACATACCTCCTCCCCCCCCCTCCCTCCCTCCCTCCCTCCCTCCCTCCGGCTGCCAGGGGTGAAGGGAGCCCGTGCCTGTCGGCCATATTGCGCATGGAAGGCTGCTCCATTGCACGGTGCCCGTGAACCCTCTGCCAGGCTTTGCCCACGACCCCCCGCCCTGGGCCGATCCCCCCCACGCAGCCTTCTCCGCTTCCTCCGTTTGGCTGGCCTTGGTTGCTCATCTCCGGATGCCCCAAAGCCACGAGATGGCCTGGGCGAAGGGTGGCTCCTCCTGCCCCCCTGTTTGCACTGGGGGTCTGGAGGAACATGGCCGGGGCTGGGCTGATGCGCCCTGCGGAGCCGCGAGAGCAGGAGGACCAGCGCAGCCTCTCTCTGCCTCGGTTTCCATGGCGACCGAGCGGGCCTGGCATCTGAGCAGCAGCGGCTGGAGACAGGAGCGCTTTGTTCTGCTCTCAGCTGATCCAGGCGGGAGGGGAAGGTGGAGGTGTATGCGGGCCTCCCCCTTGGGTGGAGCCCTCGGACCTCTCGCAAGCTGGATGGGCAGGTGGGCACCTGCTGACTCTTCCTAAGATGGGCAGGGCCTTTTCGGCACTCTGAACTGAATGCCGCCAAGGGTGGCCGAGAGCGGGAATGGTGGCCTTCACATTGCTGGGGTGCTGAAGATGTTTGAGGTTGGCTTCTTGGAGCCCCCAAAGGGTCCTGCAAAGAGGCGTTGCCAGGCCTTCTCCAGCCCCCTTTTCTGAGGGGGGGGCAGCAAAGAAGGGACACCTGCAGGGCAACAGAAAGAGCACCTGGTTGGCATGTCGGCAAGCCAAAGCCCGGAGGAGCTTGTGGAAAAGGCCAGTTCCTACTCAAGAGCTGAGGAGGGTAGTTCTGGAGGTCCTCAGTGAAATGACCCCAGCCCAGGTCCTCCATGTGCCACAGGCTGGTGCGAGCAAGTGGACAGGGTAGTCAAGGGTCTCGTCGTGCAATCCTGGAGTGGAAATATTCGCCCCATGGCAGCACTGAGTTTCCACCCTTTGGCGGCTAGACTGTGATGCCCACAACAACGACGCCGGGCCCCTGCCTGCATCCAAAGGGGCTTGCCTCTCCAAGGATGCCACCCCGACCCTCAGGGGCCCTCCAGGCTGGCTGCGCAGGGACAGGTCCGGTGGGCTCCCCCCTCCTTCCTCCTTCAGGCGTGACCTCTGCAGCTGGCCTCCCCCTGAGCTCCGCCTGGCCTTCTCTCTGACCCTGGGGACGGGGCCCTGGAAGCCTCTGCCCCCTCCCCAGTGCTGCTGCTGGAGGTCCGAGGGGCGCCGGAGGCTTAGCAGACGCCTGAGCCAGGTGACCTTCCCACCTTCTCTGCAGCCATGCTATGTTTGAATTCTCTTTTGTTTTCTTCCTTCCTGTTTTGGTTTCTCTTTTTTGCCCCCTTCTTCCTTTTTGTTCGGTCTCCTCGTGTTTGGTCCCCAGGCTCCAGCGCTAAGAAACAGGGCGAGGACTTAGCGGATAATGACGGGGATGAAGACGAAGGTATTTGTGTGCGCCAGGTGGCTGTCGATGCATGAACCCCACCCCCCCACCCCCCACCCCTCTCTCTCTCTCTCTCATGCACGTCCTCATTGCTGCTGCCATTCCAAGAAGCCCCCCTCCCCCCTTGTTTGTATCTCTGTCTCTCCGGGTGCTGAGCGGTCAAATGGGGGGGGGCACCCTGCTGCCCCTCGCCCTGGGTTGCTTGCTGGTTGGGAAGGTCGAGGCGAGGGGCTGCAGGGTCCCTCTTGGCTCAGACGCTCCGGGTTTCTGGCCTTTCCCCACACAGAAGGTCACGATGGGCTTGCAGAAGAGCGTGTCTGGGAGAAAGGGGCACTTGCCATTCTCACACACAACCACACCCACACACATACACACAACACTCCCTGGGTCCGGCCTGGGTCCTCAGCACCCACCCTGGCTTCTCAGGGGCTCTTTTCCCCAGACAGGCACTCGGGGAAGGGGGCTGCTTCCTGGTCAGAGGAGCCTCTGAAAAAGGCAGCGTGGGGGCCTGGGGGCACGACACATTGGAGGGCAGGAGGGGCACTCGAAATGTGGCTGCAAAGGGCACCATTGGCATTGGGCGGAGGAGAGCGGTGCCCTTCTGCAACAGAGTGGGATCTGCGTCTTGCCCCTCTGCCAATTTCTGTCCATGCCAGGGGTAGCAGTGTCCTTGGGCACAGGGGGCTCGCTTCCCCTGCTTCCCCCCCCCCCCCCGAGAGGCTGCCATTTAATCCTGAGGAAAGCATCCCCGGTGCCAGATGCCCGTCAATTTTGCTTGAAGGAAAAGGTCAAGGTGACACCTAAGGAAATCCCAGCCAACCTGTGCAAACAGCTTGGCAAGAGAAGCAAAAAGAACTCCAGGGAACTTGGATGCCAGCAGAGCTGAGCTGGTGGGCCAGGTCTGGAAGCGGATGCCCGAGGCCTCCTAGCCAGGCCTGAGGGGGCAGGATGTTCTTCCAGTTGTGTATTTGGGAGTCACAGCTTACAGCCCTGTTTGTGCTCTTCTACACTGCCAGGCACTCGGTGGCTTATTTGGCATCTTGAGTGGCAATTCTTGTGGCCAGAGTGCTTCCTCTGTCCTGGGTGGAAGCACCCCCAAGTTGACAATGGGGCTTGCTGCCTCCCAATCTCCTTGGAGGAGCTCTTCCCTGGGATGGGCCAGCCATGCCCCTTCTCATGGCAAAGGCAGATGAGGTCCCTGTCTTGACGTTGCCATGAGGCGCTTCTTGCTGATTTTCTGCTTATAATGTTTGTACTTATAATGTCTGCTTGCTTTAGAGTTGTCAGCATTCCGGGGTGGGTAGAGAGCCCCTCTGGGCATCCTTGACGGGGCAGTGCCAGGTGACCACTCTGCCCCGGGACTGTAGCTCCCAGGAGTGCAAGCTCTGAGCGTGTGTGTGGATCCCTGGGGAGCTGCTCCTGCTGCTGCCTTGAGGCCTGGGTGGGACAGGCAGGGCCAGCTGCTGGGGGGGCACAGGCTGTCATCCTGGTTCAGGTGCCAGGGGCATTTGACTGAAATCAGCAAGAGGGAAGAGGTGGGGAGATGGGGGGGATGAATCTTGCAGGATCGCTGAGCGTGTTTCTGCTAGCAAGTCTGGTGAAGCAGCAGCTTCTCAGACGAAAGGTGAGCCTGGGCTATTCCCCTCCCGCCCCCCCCCCCATCCAGAATGGATCCTCACCAGAATACTTCACTCCCCAGTGAAAGGAGAGGTGCTGCGTCCCAACTCCCTGGTGGTCGCATCTTTCTAGGGCTCAGTCCCAAGCCCTGAGTCTCTCAGCTGGCCCACCAGAGCTCAAGGGACCTTGGGGGGGCTCCTGCAAGCCTTAGGGCCTTCTCACATTGTCTGCCAGGCCGGAAACCTGCGGGCAGAGCTTGAGGTCCCTGCTGTGCCTCGTCTCCCTGGGAAGGGCCTAGATAACGCAGAGGTGGGTGCCCAGCAGGCCGTGCCAGACTCCTGTCTCTAGCTTCTCCCCCTTGCAGACATCCGAGACAGCGGGGCCAAGCCGGTGATGGTCTACATCCATGGGGGCTCCTACATGGAAGGCACAGGGAACATGATTGACGGCAGCGTGCTGGCCAGCTACGGCAACGTCATCGTCATCACTCTCAACTACCGCGTGGGAGTCCTGGGTATGGAGATTCTCACAACCATCCCAGCATGGGGAGGCCCCTGGCAGACCCTGGGCGGCCACCACATCCCTTAGCAGCTTGGGGGATGCGGGGCCCTGTGGGGAATAGGAAGAGAGTCCTGCAGGGAGCAAGATCCCCAGCTTTGGCACCAGTTCCCCTGAAAGGGCTCCCTCCCCCTCCAGCATCTGGCCCCCAGGACAAGCCCTCGACCCTCCTCGGGGCCAACGGACCCACGTGAAAGTCGCCCTGTTTCCCTAACTTGGAGTTCCCTCGTGTTTGCCTATTAGGGCCCCGCAGAGAGCAAGTATTGATCTGTGGTTAAATATTGTAGAAACCCTCTTTCCCCATCTCCTCTCTGCGCCACTCGGCAAGTACCACTAATACGCCTCCCCAGAGGGAGTATCCTGTGATTCTGCTGGGGGGCTGCCAGGCCACCTCCGGAAGCCGCCCGCTGGATCCTGAAGGGCTTCTTTGGAGCGGAAGGCAGGCAGGGTGAAGCTGGGAAGGGCCTTATTTCTCCTGCTCCACAGACAAACAGCCCCCGCCAGTGGTGAAATCCAAATTTTTTTCTGTGGGCGTGGCTTGGTCAGTGTGGCAGGGGAAGGATACTGCAAAATCTCCATTCCCATCTCACTCGGGGTGGTATTTGCCAGTTCTCCGAACTGTTCAAAATTTCTGCTACCAGTTCTCCAGAACCTGTCAGAACTTGCTGGATTTCACCCCTGGCCCTCACCCTTGACTTTCGGGGCCTTTGGCCACCCTAACCCCAGGTGGTGCCTTGGCATTTTAGGGTGCCTGGGTTGTGGCTGCAGCAGCCTCCGAGCAGAGGAGAAAGCTTTTCTTGGGGGTGGGATTTGCACCCGGGTCAGGAGCCCAGAAATGACGTGCCCGGCTTATGAGCCCGCAGGCCAGGGTGCCGAAGGTGCCGAGCTGAACTCAGTTCACCCTAGATTGGTGTAATACGTTTCAGCTCATTTCCACATTGATTCCTTTCCTGGGCTTGCAGAAATCACGAGCTCCCAAACATTTCAAAAACGTGAAACTGCTAAAAGTTTTTCACTGGCCTGTCATTAGGCAAAGCCAGAGAGGCAGTTTCTAGATCCAGTCTAAGAGTGACCTCAAACGAAGGACAGAAAAGTTGGAAAAGTCCCAACGAAAAGCTGAGCCTTGGGGTAGATGGCCTGTCCTCCCAAGGGGCATTCAGGGCCAGATTCCTCCAGAGCAGAGGAGGCTGTGGGAAGGGCACAGGGGCATCTCCCTGCCCTCCTCGGGGTGGCAAAAGGCTCCCTCTGGAACCCTCGCGTGGGGAATGGCCCTTTGCTGGGGCCTGGTCAGCGGTGGGGAGGGGGGATGGAGGTTCTGGCTGGGGAGCAACCGGCTTTCCTCTGCTTGCCTGCAGGGTTCCTGAGTACCGGCGACCAGGCTGCCAAAGGCAACTATGGGCTCTTGGACCAGATCCAGGCTCTGCGCTGGATCAGCGAGAATATCGCCTTCTTTGGTGGCGACCCTTTGCGCATCACCGTCTTCGGGTCGGGCATTGGGGCTTCCTGCGTCAGCCTGCTCACCCTGTCGCACCACTCCGAAGGTAAGGGAGGCCTTTCGGTCTCTCCCAAGAGGGGGAAGACCCCCCAGTTGCCCCTCTTCCTCTCTGGACCTCCCCCTCCCCCCATGTTGTTTACCATAGATGATTTGTTTCTGTACTAATGTGGAATTACGGGCGTCAAAGCATCCTTGAATCTCTGCATTCAGGGTTATAAGGAGGGAGGCGACAATAACTTCTATTTCAAAATCAACTAACAGTTGGAATGTACAAAGGCCATTGGAAAACAGGCAGCAACAAACGCTTAGATGTCGAAGTAGGTTCTTTGTTATGACGATGGCAGATGCCCAGGCGAGTCGTCTTCCAGTGGAAACCAACCTCGGGATATTCCCTTTGCCAAGCCGGCTTCAGTAGTTCCTCCAAGGACAGATGTTGACAGCAGTAGTGGATTTCAATTTCGGTCGCTATCGGTTCGCTCGCGGGTGCAGGCGTGCTCACACGACGCTTCTGTGCATGCGCAGAGACATCTGGGTGGGTGGGCAGAGCTTCCCACTGCCGCCACTACCGTTTCGCTCGAACCGGGGCAAACCGGTAAAAACCCACCGCTGGTTGCAACCTGTGGCCAGATACGGTCCAGGAGAGCTTAGCCAGAGGCCTTCCAGTCTGCCAGAGGAAGTCTGCAAGTTTCTCCGTCAGAAAACACAACTGCAGAGATGGGCCCAAGGCCAAGGAGGAACCGAGTCCCCAACATGCGTGAATTAAAACCCCAGCCAAGCAAAGCCTTGGAAGGAGCAAGGCCCACTTTGCTCCTTCTGCATCTGAATCCTAGCTGGACCGGCTGATCTCGGGAAGAGTAGGGACCTCTTTGTAGATGGGGTGGGCAGAGCCTGCCTGGACATTCTCTGGGAAGCTAGAGCTGTATATGGGGGGGGGGGCGATTTGATGCCAGGGTCCCTGCCAGCTCTAGAGCCCATTAAGAGGCAATCTGCAGGCTAAAAACGGCGTGGCTTCCAGCCCAGCGCCACCGCTGGGACAGCTATAAGAGTATTTACACTTGTCCCTGTCCCTGCCCGATGGTGCCCACGCCATCCTCATGGATGGGTAACCCGGCATAGATGCTGCCTTGGGGTTCGGAAGGATGCCTTGCTTTTTAATTAGACATCCAGCAGCTTCTGCGTGTCCAGTTTGCTGCCCAGGAGTTCCTGCAGCAGCTGAAAAAGCAGCACACCAAATATCACAGCACAGCTTGGCTGATATTTCCATGGTGTTTTTACGGCTCCTGCAGAATGGGAATTAGCCGAGCCACCAGCAAATGCCTCCCCCCCCCCCCCCCGGTTTAGTTAATGTTATCACCCCTTTGGGGTGTTTAGAGAAGCATCCGCTGCATAGAAGTCAGGATGGGATGTCTGTCTCGGGGCCAAAAGCATCGTGGGGTTAGGACAGGGGGGACCAAAGACTTGCAAGGGCCTTGTGGCTCCATTCTTCCTCTGGGCTCCCAGAGGTTTTCCTGGACTCGGGCCGAGGGGGCCTCAGAGGTATTTGCACATTGGCATCAGTGTCTGAAGAGGGGGTGTCGACCTGTGCCCCCACAGAGGTTCCTGAACCTCTGGCATGCCACTGGGGGTCCTTTGCAGACCCAGGGAAAGGGCCGAGCGTGACCCTCTCCAGATGCCTTGGATCATCATTGCCATAATATCCAACTGCCATTCCACACATCTGGAGTGCACCCAGGCTAGGAAAAACTTAGCTCTGCCTGTTCTGCTCAGGTTCAGTCACTGCAGCAGAAAGGATCTGGGGCAGCCCCACACAGGGGGACCCCTGTCACAGTGCCCCCAGCAGGGACGGGCATGATGCTGGAAGGGTCCCCAGTGTGGGAGAGCCTCCGTATTTCTTATATTTACCGGCAGGGATGCAAAGGGGAGGGGGGAGGGCCACCCTGGGGTCTCTGCACCATAAATCCCTCCTTTGCCTGGAGCCCCAAAGGGATCTCCTAGGCTTCCATGAGTGGAGGGAAGCTAAGGCAGCCCCAGGCTCTCCTCGGATGCGGCTGCCTGCCAGGGAAGGCTTCCCTCGGCTTGCTGGAGAATGCTGGGAGTGCTGCTCAGCCTCCCCCTCCCCCACTGCATTTCCGCCTCCTCCTCCTCCCATGCCGGAATGCATTAGGCAGCAGCTGAAATCCTGCCTGCCTGCCGAGCAGAGGCCCCAGAGCGACCCAGGAGACCCTCTGTGGAAGGCTTCTGCCTGCGCTGCGCAGTCAACCTCCATTCAAGTGCTCTTTTGTGAGCCAAGAAAGCAGGCAGGAGCCCCCCTCCTCCCCCCCACTTGAGATGAGAGGAAGAATTAGTCTTCCACTTTGCCCACGGTGTGTGTGGCGGTGGGGGGGGAGGGGGGCTGTCCCCCAGGTGGAGAGAAGAGGCAGGAGCTATTTCTGCCTCTTGCTGTGTGTGCAAAGGAGATTCGCCCATTTCTGCTACCCAGCAGCTGGAAAGCGAGAGAATTAGCTCCGGTCATTTGCAGGACACGCATTTCTGGGGCCTGCGAAGCTCATCCAGAAGCCACCAGGAGAATATTCAAATAGCCGCATCAGTGCTGGTGCAGCAGGTGGACGAGGGGGAGGGATGCTCTGGCCAGCTGGCTGCGCTTTACCTTGCCACGTGGTCAGGTGGCCTGAACTAGCCCGGTTCAGGGGCAGAGTAGCTGGGTTTTGTTGGATCCCCTACCATCTGCTGGCCAATGGTCCCTCCCCACCCCGATGGTTCTGGGTGGGGCTCCAACCGCCAAGATATCAGAACTGAGGAACGTGGGCACCAGGTTGGGGGAGGCTGCTTTGGGGGGTGGTCCCAAAGACACTGAGCGGCTCTCGGGCACAGCTGGCAGTCCTTCCCTCTGGGACGCAGCCTGACGGTTGGAAGCCGAAGTGGCTTTTTTTTTTTTTTTTTTATTTGATTTATATGCCGCCCTTCTCCGGAGACTCAGGGCGGCTTACAGTGCGTTAAGCAATAGCCTTCATTCTTTTGTATATTTTATACAAAGTCAGCTTATTGCCCCCACAAACTGGGTCCTCATTTCACCTACCTTAGAAAGGATGGAAGGCTGAGTCAACCTTGAGCCTTGGAGAGATTCGAACCAGCAGAAATTGCAGGCAGCTGTGTTAATAACAGGGTGCATTAAACCACCGTACTATCAAGGCTTTGGTGGTTGGAAGGTGACCCTGATGCAGGCTCCCTCCCAGGGAGGGGAGCTTTGGGGGAAACAAGCTTGTGTAAGGGTCTTCCAAGGGAGAAAAGGGTGAACCCCGGGAAACGGCCCCGTTGCTTTAAGGGAGCGCAAGGGTGGGGGGGAGACAATAAATAATCATCTCCCCCTTCCCCCAGTTCTGTAGCAAAGGTGCCTCTCATTTTTTACCTGGAGGTCGAGGGACGGTAGGAGCTGGTGGAGGAGCTGCTGTCCTCCTGCCCTCTGCCCCTTCCTCCCTCCGGCTTCAGCTGCAGACGCTGCACTTCCTGGACCTTTTTGTATTCCGAGGACAAGCCACACGGAAGGAACCTTGGCACCCAGCCCGGCCTGGCATTCCTCTGCCAGCCCCAGGGCCTTTGTGGGCCGGCTTCCTAGGCCTGGCGTCCTCGGTCTCTTGTGTTCCCGCCAGCAAAAAGGCTCCTTTGTGCCCCTGGGGAATGTGCAGTTTGCCGAGCCCACATTGGCACGGAGCAGGGCCCAGCTGGGCAGGAAATGAGGGCTGTTCTCTGTGGAACATGCAGGGTTAAGTACCATAGGCTTAACCCCCACAATGCCAGCCTCAGATTGCCCTGCCTGAGGCTGGGGAGGGGGGGAGGGACGAGCACCACTTCTTCCATTCCTGCCCATTGTTCCCAGAGACTGGGTGGAACAGGACCAGGATTTCTTGACTGGTGCCAGGCTGACATGGTGTGGCTGCCAGGGAGAGATGAACGGAGATGCGAAGGGGGGTTGTGCTAAGGCCGCAAGCCCAGGATTTGCAGCCTGCAGCCTGGTCTTGGACGAAGGAGCCGGCATGGCTGGAGACGAGCTGTCTCCGTTGGGCCATCTGTCCCCCCGTTGCCCCTTTTCTTGCGATAGAGAGCAGCTTGTAGGCGTTGGTGGTGTCCCTTTAGCACAGCTTTCTTGAAACCGAAGGGTCCCGCTCATGGGCGGCCTGCCGGTTTCTGCCATGCTTGTGTTCTCGCCTCACAGGTCTTTTCCAGCGAGCCATCATCCAGAGTGGCTCCGCTCTGTCCAGTTGGGCAGTCAACTACCAGCCGGTGAAGTACACCAGCTTGCTGGCTGACAAAGTGGGCTGCAATGTTCTGGACACTGTGGACATGGTGGACTGCCTGAGGCAGAAGACTGCCAAGGAACTGGTGGAGCAGGACATCCAGCCGGCACGCTACCACGTGGCCTTTGGGCCGGTCATCGATGGGGACGTCATCCCGGACGACCCCGAGATCTTGATGGAGCAGGGGGAGTTCCTCAACTATGACATCATGCTTGGCGTCAACCAGGGTGAGGGACTGAAGTTTGTGGAGGGGGTCGTGGACCCGGAGGATGGTGTTTCAGGCAGCGATTTTGATTATTCTGTCTCCAATTTTGTGGACAACCTGTACGGCTACCCAGAGGGTAAAGACACCCTGCGCGAGACCATCAAATTCATGTACACAGACTGGGCTGACCGGGACAACCCGGAAACACGACGCAAGACCCTGGTGGCCCTCTTCACTGACCACCAGTGGGTTGAGCCGTCGGTGGTGACCGCTGACCTTCACGCTCGTTATGGGTCCCCCACGTATTTCTACGCTTTTTATCACCACTGCCAGAGCCTCATGAAGCCGCCCTGGTCTGATGCGGCCCACGGAGACGAGGTGCCTTACGTCTTTGGGATCCCCATGATTGGCCCCACCGACCTCTTTCCCTGCAACTTCTCCAAGAACGACGTCATGCTCAGTGCCGTCGTTATGACCTACTGGACCAACTTTGCCAAGACTGGGTATGTTGCCCTTCCCCAGGCTGCGCCTTTGGCGGGCTTTGCAGGGCGGGTGGCTGGCATCTCCCAGAGGGTAGAGCCAGGTCGCTCGTCTGCTGTGTGGAACCGGACATTGAAAGGACCCTCCGCTGTCACTATCAGGCTGTGTGGGAGGAGAGGGGTGCAAAGCTCTGGCCCCCTTGGCAGATTCAGTCCTAGGGATCTGAAAAGGAGAGAAGGGAGAAAAACAAATATCTCTTCTCCTTGGAGGGGAAGACTAACGGGCTTCTTGGACCAGCAGGTTGAGGTCGCTTCTTTCTCTAGTGGCTCTCAAGGATTGAGCCCCTAGATCTGCTTTCTCTAGCCTATTCCCCCCCAGATGTGTTGGGACTGCAGCCCCCAGAGTTCCCAGCCAGCGTGATTTAGGGAAAGTCCAGTTTTAATCCTTCAGATTACTAAAACAGGAATCTAGGTCTTTGCCAAGCTTATTTTTTGTTCTGAAAAGGCTCCGCTCTCTGCAGCCCTCAAAAGACAGAGAGTCTCTCCATGTATATCAGAGTCCCTTGGGGCCAAACGCCCCTGCTTGGCAGGTGGGTCCAATGGGAAGAACCCCTTCCCCCAGGGAGCCCCCTCATTAGTGGCACAGAAGGGATTGCTGTCTCTCTTTCTGCCTCCCTCCCTTTCTCTTACTCTCTCCCTGTCTCTCTCTCTCTTTCAGGGACCCCAACAAGCCAGTGCCCCAGGACACCAAGTTCATCCACACCAAGGCCAATCGGTTTGAGGAAGTCGCCTGGTCCAAGTACAACCCCCGTGACCAGCTCTACCTGCACATTGGCCTCAAGCCTCGGGTGCGCGACCACTACCGTGCCACCAAGGTTGCCTTTTGGAAGCACCTGGTCCCGCATCTGTACAACCTGCACGACATGTTCCACTACACCTCCACCACCACGAAGGTGCCGCCTCCTGACACCACCCAGAATTCCCACATGGCGCGCCGGCCCAATGGGAAGGCCTGGAGCACCAAACGGCCGGCCATTTCCACTGCCTACACCAGCGAGGGTTCGCAGGAGAAGTGGAACCCCGAGCAGGATGGGGCAGGCACGCTCCTGGTGGAGAACCCCCGAGATTACTCCACCGAGCTGAGCGTCACGATTGCCGTGGGGGCCTCCCTCCTCTTCCTCAACGTTCTGGCCTTTGCAGCGCTCTACTACCGCAAGGACAAGCGACGGCAGGACACCCACCGCCAGCCCAGCCCGCAGCATGCCCCCGCCACCAACGATATCGGGCACACCCCAGAAGAGGAGATTCCCTCTCTGCAGACCAGCCAGGCGCACCATGGAGACTGTGAGGCAGTCCCAACCCACGATGCCCTCCGCCTCACCGCCTTGCCCGACTACACGCTCACGTTACGCCGCTCACCCGACGACATTCCACTCATGACGCCCAACACCATCACCATGATCCCCAACTCCCTGGTGGGGCTGCAGACCCTGCACCCCTACAACACCTTTGCTGCCAGCTTTAGCAGTACTGGGCTCCCTCACTCACACTCCACCACCCGGGTATAGCCGCCATGCACACGCTCCACCTCACTGGACCTTGGGCTATGGGGTCAGACATGGCAACTCTCTTGGCTCGTACTATCAAGTGCTTTGCTCTCCTCATCTCCAGAGCAACGGAGGCTTCATGGAGTCCGGCAGAGAAGGCGAGACCCCCCCCCCCCGGGCTGTCCTGAGTAAACCCTTTGTGCTCCCAGGTCCAGCTGGCACTGCCAAGGAAGCCCAGGACAGCCCCTCGCCTCCTGGAACCACCGTGGGGGACTCCGCCTGGGCACCTCCTAGTGGGCACTCTTGGAACAGAGCTTTGGAGAACGGCTCCCACAAGCTTAGCTGCCACCTTGTGGCAGGAGATGGTTGGCAGTTCCTGGAGCTCTTGGACAGGTGCCATTTGGGGGTGGGTGGGGGTTTTTCTAAACCCCGTAGTGGATCCTGGATCCCCTGGCCTTGATGCTGGGCCTAGCAGGTACTGCTTGGTACCCTGGCTCCATACCACACTTTTCATGTTGCGGAGATTCTGTCTGTCTGTCTGTTTCTTTCCAAAAGACGTTTTTTAAGCAGATCTTTAGTTCTTTAAACACTAACGGAGACACCGTGTTTTGTCCTTTGTAAAGATTTTAAACTAAGTGTTCTTGATACAGCCAATTAGACACACACGTCACCCAGGCAAGCACATCCACCCCCCCCCCTCCTCCAGCTGCATCTGTGCCAAACTCTGAAACCAGCAGGCTTCCCTCGGGGCAGGCAGTGGCACAGAGTAAACCACGAGGCCATTTTGTACTTTTGATATGCCCTTCCTAGCCATCGTGTCCAATGGCCATCCATGCTCTTGGGGACCAGCAGCTTCCTCCTGCCCTCTGCCCTGGCCAGCTGCAGACCACGGCCCAGCCGCATCCTTGAGCTTCTTGCCAGCCCACAGCTTGCCCTGCCCTCCAACTCACAGCTACCCCTCTGCTGGTTGGAGAGGCAGGGAAGGAGGAGGGTGGCACGCGTAGGGGCAGGAAGGGGCTTGCCCCCATGTGTCTGGCTGCCAGGTCCAGGACAAGGGCTGCTGGTTGATGGAGACCCCGCAGTGGCAGCTTGAGGATTTGCCACGGGTGGGTCTTGGGCCTGGGGTTGGGGGGAAAGAGGGCAGGGGAAGACAGCAGACAGCAAACCCTGCCTTGTCGGAGTCTGGCTGGCAGGAGGGGCCACCAGGTGGTCAGCAGCACTGTCAGCTGGCAGGTGAGGATTCTGAGGTGGTGGGAGGGGGACACGTTGAGGAGGGGCTGCAAGCAACTCAGGCGGTGGGATTTGATCCAGCTTGCCTGGAAGTTTAAAACTTCTGTGTGTGTCTCCTCCACCCGTCACCAGCCTGCTCCTCGCTGGGGGGTGGGGGTGGGGAATGTATCTTGGAGCAGAGGAACGAGAAAATTCCCAATAAACTGGAAGGGATATTTTTAGCTGCTGGCTGTGCTGTCTCTTCTTGGGCTGGGGCATGTTGGGGTGGGGAGGGTGGAAGAACGGCAGAGCGTCTCTCCTGTGCCGGCCACAGACCCGCCTAGGATCTGGAGAAGACTCCCACCTATGGCACCAGAAGGGGGATGCAGGCCGGCAACCCTCGGAAACTTCTGGCCCTTTTTCCCCAGATGTCTCATTGCCAGACTGCTGTTCACTCTGGGATGAAAAAGTGCCTCTGCTCAGTTTGGGTTTATGGGCCAGAAAGCAGGCAGCACCTGGGTGGGGGATTCAAGTAGCCCCCCTCCAGGAAGCCCTTGTGCTTTGGAGCAGCGGATGGGGGATTCCTGCCTTTAGGGTCCCAAGGCCTTTGGGTGGCAGAGACCCCCTCTTTTCCCCCGCCCCCGCCCCACTGGTGCAGCCCTTACCTCTGAGGGCAACTTGAAGCCACAATTTTGCCTGCCCTCTCTTCATTGGGGCACTGGCACATGATGGACCCAAAAGGGCAGAACTCCACCAGTGCCCCCAGAAGCCAGGGTCAAGGACCATCGCTGGTGTGTCTTGCCAAGCATCCTCGGGAGGGGGGGGGCTCCCATCACCCCCTCCCTGTGATCTCCTTCTGTGCCCCTTCCTTTCTCTTCATTGCTCAATGCCAGTTCTGGTGGTGTTTCCATGGCAACTGGGAGCCATAAGCTGAAGCCTTTTGCAGCAGGCACCTGGACCAAGGCACCTGTCGTGGGCTGGGGAGGTGGTGGTGGGGGGAACCTGTGTGGGCGGGGCTAGCTGAGACCCCACTTCTGCCTCGGGATGGGAGGGTGGATTTGACCCAGCTTCAAAAGGGGGTGGTGGTGGAGAGAGGCAGGTCCCATTCCAGAATCTTCTATATCTCTCCTTGCGTGTGCCAAGCTCTCCCACCCCGGCCGATCCTGCCTCACCAGTCAGGAAGGGGTTCCTCACTGGACTCCCGAAGGAAAGCTTGCAAATGCCAAATGTGCCCCTTCCATTTCCGACCCCGAAAAGGGTTTGCAGTGGTCATTGCTGACCGGTCCCTGAACGCCACAGGTTTAGCAAGAGGCCCCTGTTGTGTCCCAGGAGGAGAGCCCCCTCAGTCCACAGGAGGCCAAACTCCCTTCGCTGCTTGAGGGAACACCTGTGGGGCCTCTGCCAGGCTCATTTCCGCTGCCCCCCTGATCTGCACTGCTTCCGTCCCTCAGAACCCCTCCCCAAGCAGCCCCTGGTTGAGAAGGATTTTTGATCCAGCCGCCTCCTCTCTGGCAGGTCTGCCAGGCTGCCTCTGCCTTCCATGTCCCCTTCTTGGAATTTCCCTTAACACCCCCCCCCCCCGCCCCAGGGGAACACAGAGGGCCAGGCTAAAATGGGCTGCTGTCTGGAGTCTTCCTCAGCCCAGCCATGCCCCTGCCCACCAAGCCCCCCCTCCCCCCGCTGTCCTGGCCATTCTGTTCAGCGGGTAAAATTATCGCTGCGCTCCTGGCGTTTCTTCCTGCAGCTGGACAGATGCTCCAAGTACGGATAGTGAAGGAGGCTGGAAACTAGCAGTAGCTGATGGGCTGGTTACCAGTTCCCAGCTCAGGGTGAGCAGCAAGGCTCCCCCCGTGACTCCCTCCCCCAATACTACAGTGAAGCATCTCCCACCCTGAGCCACAGCTCCTGCCTGCCCAAGGAGCCTTCCTGCCCTGGCAGTCTGCTGACAAATTGGGGTGGGGGTGGGGGAAGCTGCTTCGAGCAGAAGGCATAAGCAATCAACCCCAACATGGACGGAGAGCAGGCAGCCATCCGGGATTCTTCTCCATGGCAACCACAGTGTTTGCTGGTTTGATCACCCTCCTCCCCAAGTGTCCTTCTGCAATGACTCTGTGTGTGTGTGTGTGTGTGTGTGTATGCACATGCAGGGACTCTGTATGCAGGATCACATTCCCAAAATCGGTTAACAAACTTTCATTGTCTCAGTTGGATGGAGGGGAACGGCCTGGGTTTCCTCCAATCACTCAAACCGTTTCAGGCCAGCCTCAGAGTTGTGGCCGGCATGAATGAGAGAGCACATGAAAAGTGGGAGGGGGGAGCAGGCTTCATTTGCAATTCATCAGCACAAAACATGGGCACAACAAACACACACACAACCAGGCACAGGTTTTCACCCTGCAGATTAATCTGCGCTTCAGCCCGGCTCTCTCGGCAGAATCTCAGGGTCACCTTGCTTGCCAAGACAGGGTGGGGTGGGGGGCTCTTTCCTCTCACTCAGCACCTGGAACAGACTTTTGCTGTTGCTGCAGAAGGTTGTGGAGGAATGGAGACGTGGAGCTGGGAAGTGACTCCCAGCCGAGCGGCCCCCACTCAAGGGCTGCATTATGGCCGGCCTCAGCTGCCCTTGCCAAAGAGGAATTCGCATTTTGCCCAGTGGTGAAATCCATTTTTTTTTACTACTGGTTCTTTGGGCGTGCCTTGGGCATGGTGTGCCTTGGTGGGCGTGGCTTGGTGGGCATGGCAGGGGAAGTATACTGCAAAATCCCCATTCCCTCCCCACTCCTGGGGGAAGGATATTGCAAAATCTCCATTCCTACCCCACTCTGGGGCCAGCCAGAGGTGGTATTTGCCGGTTCTCCAAACTGCTCAAAATTTCCGCTACCAGTTCTCCAGAACCTGTTGGATTTCACCCCTGATTTTGCCCCTTTCGCTTTGGATAAGGGGAGCTGGGTCCCCCGACAGTGACCGAAGTGCGCTGGCTGCTTTTGCCCTGGATCAAGGCAGGATGAAGACAGACAATTCTGCCCACAGGAGGGTCAACAATGCCCCAAGTCAGCAAGTGGCCAGTTTTGCATGGAGGGCGATGCTCAGGGTGTCTGGATCTCAGAAATGCCTCTTCTGTGCCCATCAGGCTGAGCTTCCACCTTCTGTTCTGGCAGCACCCCGTCCCCAGCAACTCTGTGGAGAAAGAAAGAGAAAGAGAAAAAGAGAGGGGGGAGAGGGAGGGAAAGAGAAAGGGAGGGGGAGGGGGAGAGAGAGAGAGGGAGAGGGAGAGAGAGGGTCAAGAAAATGAACCAACGCAGGCTCATCCCACCCACTTTGAAGGCAAGTCTGAAGGAAGGCTTCCCTCCCACCCTTAGCAGCTCCTGGGCGGGCAGAGAGTTAAGATTCAGGTGCTGGGATGGAAAGATTTCCCTTTTCCAAGCACTTGGAGGGGGGGAGAGCAGAGTCCCCCCTCCCCTTCTGGCTTTCATCGTGAGGGTTGGGGAGCTGGAGATGCTGATCTCCAAATTAAGCGGGGGGGGGAAGGGGGCTCCTCTGCCTGCCTAGTCTAGAAGCTGAACCAGGACTGACGCCCCCCACCCACCCCACCCCCGCCTGCCCTCCGACGCAGCCAGGAGCATCAGGCACCAGCCACAGCCACCTCACCACCCAACCTGGCCTCCTTCTCCTTGGCACAAGGTCACCTGCAGGAAGTCCCCTGTGCCGGCCGAGGAGCCCTCTGCATCGAAAAGGGCCCAGGCGGGCGGCCCTCCGGAGCCGCTTCCCCGGAGCCTCCGAGTTCGAGCGCGGGGCCCCTCGAGCCTTAAGTCACACCGAAACCCATTTCTTTGCCTTTTTAATTGCATCGATTAGAGACATTTAGATAACAAATTACTGCATTAAATTTAATTATCCCAGCGATAATTAGCTACTGTGGGAGCAGGCGAAGCCCGGAGCAGAGAGCGCGCCTCCAGCTCCCCAGCCGATCTTGCCAAGCCATGCCCACCCAGCGGGGCTCATTGCCTTAAGCCGCCTCCCCCCCCCCCCACCTTGTGCTCCCACGGGACTACAAGTCCCATGGCTCTCAGCCAGGCAGGGCTTCCGCGGGCGGAGGTCCCTTTAAAAGAGGCCGCCCGACCATGTGCAGAGTGTCTCCGCCCGCGTCGGCTCAGCAGCCCAGCCAGCCCCAGGCGGCTCCGCGGGCCCTTCCCCATGGCCTCCCCGCGAGCGCTGGGCTTGTGCTGCGGCTCTCCGGCTCTCAGCCTCTCCCGGCAGCTGCCGCCCTGGCCCGGGCTGGCCCTCGGCAGCGCCGCGCTGGGACTGCTGGCCGCGGCGCTGCTGGCCGCGCTCCGCAGGCGCCCGCGCCACCGCTGCAGCGGCTCTTGCCGGGTCTCCGCCGGGCGCGACTGGTCTGCGGGCAGGGCGCTCCGGGCAACCGCGCTCCTGGGCAGCTTCCTGGGCACGGCGGGTGAGAGAAGGGCTGCCCCGCCGGGAAGGGCAGGAGCAAAGGCAGGGCCAGGGCAGGACTCCGGCCGCCGTCCCGCCTCTGCTGCCCCCGAATTCTGGGGGCTTGTAGGGGGCACCGTGCCCAGAGACACTCCGCATCCCCCAAGGGCCGCTGAAAACGAGCCACGACGACCCTCCCTCCCACCTTCCCAAATTGCTCTTCAGCTGAAACTGAGAGAGAAAATTATTGCATTAGGATGGCATAATTATTGTAACCATGTTTATTTAATTGTAATTACATCTAAATGAAATCAGTTTTACATTTCTGTCCTAGCTTTGCTTATTTATTTTTTTAAATAACCTGGGTACAGAGGCCAAACATGGCTTCTGCAGGGGGGGGGGAGAAGAATAACCCCCTACTCCCCAATTCCCCCCTCCCCACAACAATTCCAGCCTGGCCAGGATCCCAACTGTCTCTTCCCTCCTCCTGCAGGGATCCTGGCCCGCTCTCTGCTTTGGCTGGCTGCTCCTTTGGGGTCGGTGCCTCCCCTCTGTCGCCTGTTTGTGGTACGTGGTGCTGAGAGGAGCAGCCTGGCTGGTGCTTCAGACTTCATTAAGGGTGCCTGAGTCCCCCCTCGACACACACACACACACACACCCGTCCAGCACCTGAAAGGCCTGTTGGGATGCTGAAATCAAGTCATTCAACAGAAGAGCCAAAGCAACCTGATTCCACACCCTCCTTTCTGCTCTCTTTCTTGGGACGTTCTGCTCCAGAGGGGCCTCCCTACAACATGGACAACCCCCCCTCCCC